TTATTTAAAAATTGCTCCATCTTCTGAATTTCTAGCTTTCTGAAGGTTTCACTCTGTTCTGATGACACATGTTGATAAGGACTGACTGCTAACAAAATTCAGAGAAAAATGTAACCAGAAAGCCTACTGAAGGTGGGTTTCCTTTTCCTGTAGTCAGAAATTGTCCTCCTGGAAACACACAATAGCCACACTAACTGTGGTCTGCCACACTGCTACCAGAGTAGCATCATGTTCTTATTTGTTCAGAGGTCACCCCTGTGATAGCCAAGTGGCCTCACTGTAGTAAAGAGTAATATTCTCTTCTCAGGTTGAGAGACCTTCCTGGGTATGATGGGAAGCTGAAATTGTCACTTGCAGTTTATGGGCAAGGAATGAGACAACTTGGGAATAAGCTGGTGTGGTGCTGCAGCAAACCACCTGGTCTCCCGTGATGTATCAGCACCAAAACCAGAACAGTCAGTACAGAAATAAAAACTCCTATTGCCTGACAAAAAACAACACAGATGGGGTTTTTATCAGCTGTGATACTTCTTCATGCAGTAATTAGAGACATTTGATAACAATATTACAAGAGGAACCATACATAAAAACTGCCTGTGTGAACTGAGCTGTGAACCAATAATTTTATTATTAGCTTTTAACATCAGTATTAACTTTTTGACATTAAAGTATACATAACCCAAGCAGAATCCCCAAACTATCTGTTTTGGCTTTAGTATTAGAAGAAATTAGAGATCTAGTTCTAAGCAAAAAGCTGAAGAGAAAAAAAAAAAAAAAAAACAAAAAAAAAAAAAAAACCAAAAAAAAAAAAAAAAAAAAAAACCCACACCAAAACAAAACAGACTCCAAAGTTCTTGGCTTTATTATAAGTGGACCACAGTCATGTCCTACAGAGTGGTTCCGTTTCAAAAACAACAGAGTTCTGGGCGATCAACAGGATGCTCTACATTCCCTAATACTACCTGTCAATGCAGGATATGCAGTCTTGTCAATCAGTTACATGATGTCCAAAGAAGATTTCAAATCCTATTTCATCAAGCTTCATATAGTATAAGGAACTCTGAATAGCCAAATGCACACACCAAAAGGAAAACCCAGCTGTCCCTGTTGTAAAGAGGTAAATATGAAATACAAAGTGTGGGCCACAAGGTGGGTGTAATGCTGCCCACTAATATTTTTGCCATGGGTTTGTACCAGCAAACATTACATCAGTGTGGCATCTTGTGCCTGGGGTACACAGGTAGCAATCATGGGGGGAATATACAGAAGAAAGATTTTACGTAGAGCAGTGGTTCTGTTCTGTGACTGTGTCCAGAGCAGAACCACTTGTGTTACGTTAAGGCAGCTCTCACAGAAAATGACCATGGCAGTAACAATTCTGTTGTGCATCATTGCTAAGTGGCTAGAAGTTGTTCTTCCTCAGGTGTGAATCCATTATCTCTTTAGTTTTCACAGTTCCCAGAAATGAGTGCCCTTCAGATAATAGCTCTGAGAAGAGATCAGACAGATGAGAAGGCTTCTTCCTCAAGATCTTGCTTGCAGAGGCATTGTAAATCAATGGTGATTCTGACATTGTGGAGGGAGAGAAAATGATGCATCTGACTCCATCATCAGAAGGTTAAATAATCACTTTATTATGCTGTACTATATACATTGCAGCTAAACTGAATCTGCCTTGTACTCACCCTTGCTCACAACTGCACAGAACTGCTCTCATCTCCTGACTGTTCCGTGACTGTCAGCAGACAGTCTGACACACACACACTCTTGGCCCTGATAGGCCAAGGGAACAAAACTTCCTCACTTTAGGTAAACAATCTCCATTTGCACTCTACTCTAGCACAACACAGGCACAGCAAGAGAGATAAGAATTTTGTTTATCTGCTTCTCTGCTTGTCTCACAGCTTTTCCCTGTTCAGAGGGCACGTGAATACCACACAGAGGCAGAAAAAAAAATTACTCACAATGCCTGTTCTCAAAGGACCGAGCAAATTACTGAAAATATCCCTTACACCATAGTTGGTGCATTGGTTTCATGAAGCACAGGTGCAATGGCTTATTTTGACTCCTTATTTCACCTTAACCTAGTTCCAAATGTCCTTCCATCACAGCTGACAGCCCGTATTTCCATACAACAAGAGATGTGCAGATTGCTTGCTGAAATCCCAAAAATTCAAGGCCCTCTGGCCATGGAAGGTTCATCCTGAGGTTTTCCATGGTTACAGCTGTGAATTGAGGTCATCAACAGACTTTATGAATTCTGTAGTTTTTTTCTTGTAGCTTACTGGGAGTTTCCCTCTCTCATTCTGATTCTCTGTATTTACAGAGCCAAAAACAACACAAGGCATGTGGGTGGGACTGAGGCTAGATGAGTTATGATGGGGCTTATTGCAATAACAATCAGTGCAGGTGAGACAGGAAAATGTGTAAGAATTGGAAGGGGTAAACTGAAACTAGCTGACTGAGAGAAGTGGTTTGAGGGATGGAGAGGAAATGAAATTGGGACTTTGAGAGCAAGTCAAAGGTTGGGGCTTGTTCAATTATAACAGAAATAGCTGGATGAGGTCAGGAATGGAGGCTGGGAATGGAGAGGGAATGAAAATGAGGCAGAGATGAGGGCTAGGGATGGAAAAGATAAAGGTCTGAATCAGAGTTTTCTGTGGTGGGATGGAGCAGAAAGCACCAAACTCTGGGATGGGGGGTAAGCATGAGAGCTTAAGCTCAAGAAGGCTTCTTTCAAAGGCTTAGATGGTGCCTAAAATCCCGAATGTTACTGTTTCTCTGATGGCAGTAAAAATGTCAGCCCTAGATGATAGAGCTCTACATTCAAGGTATCTAAATGTATCATGTATGTGTGAGGTGGGAATCTAAGCTTGCATTACAGACAGAGAAGACTGGGAAAGGATTTTACAACCTAAGTATCTGGAATTGTATCCACTTTTGGTGCCTTAGGAGATTCCTATGATTGTAAGATATCCAAATGACTTGAAGGGGCACCTTATTTCAGACAACTGTGTTCTACCTGCACTCAATTCAGTTCCAGGAATCCAGAGAAATAAGACACAAAGAGCCTATGCCTCATTTTCTGCAGACTGTGCAGAAGATGAAGCACAAGCTTACGTAAATATAAGCCTTTCATACAGATAAATAAATGTACGTGTCTATATCTGCAGTCTGCACCTGAGTGTTTGAATGCCTGCAGTCTGAATGTTTGTGAAACCTGCAGGCATAATGTTTCTCTCAATCTTCACTAATGTTTGGACATAGAGTTGATACCATCATCCCTTTTCTGTAAGTTGCCATCCTAATTCAAGTGGCAGGGAACAAGTTTGCAACTTCCTGGTGTACAGCCTGGAAAGAGGTACTCCATGAGGATCTCCTTTGTTCTTCTGTTTGTTCTTTTGAATCCTAGCGAACGAGACATAGCTATATGTCCAAAACCTGGATGTCTGCTAGGCAAACTGTACTGTACCAGAATTAAAATTTTCTCCTTTGCTGCACAACCTTTTTTCCTTACCAGTGCAGGGGAAGAACAGAGTGCACCATGTGTTTGAAGACAACAGTAGGATGCAAACACAAGGGACTGAATTGAAGCTGCATCACCAGCCTTAATTCCAGCATTGCCTTACAAGGCAGTGGCTTGGATTTTCTGCTTTAATATTGCTTTTTTCCCTCTTCCAGTCCTACCTCCAAATTCATGTTTGGAATGTCTTTATGAAATTTAATTAGAAAATTCTGTGTATGTGAAGCAAGTGGTGCAATACTGATGATGGAGAAACTTGTGAAGAGTGGAAGGCTGAGTGTCATCATTCAACTCTTCTACCAAAATCCATCTCCAGCTGACCCATTTGTAAATGGGTGTTTGGTCTTTCTGGCTGAGGAGTCAAAGGCAGCTTTGGCATGGCACTTGTAAAATAGATAATCCACTTGTTGGATGTAGGAGTTAAAAGACCTTACTCTTGGAGTCCCGGATAGTTAGTCTGGATCCTAGGATGCGGTAGGGTGGAGTGGTAGCATGATGAAATGGTTTTCTGAACCAAAGGCAGATAAGTAAGTGCTAAAGCAAAGTTCTCTACTTCCTGTGTCATTCTGGTCTTTTGAGGTCTCTTATCTGCCTGTATAGAAGAAAAATCACTTCTGTGGAGAGATATGGTGTGAAAATAATGCTGACTAAACAGTCAAGTCTCAAGGGAGAAGGAAGTCAAAAGTTATCTGTCAAGGAGGAGGTAAGTGTCTTGTGGGGTCTGTTTGTATTCACATTTTCTTTAATCATGGTGTTCCCTGGACTTCAAGAAATGCAAGAGCAGGATAAGGGGGACTAGGCCACTCTTCTATACAACTCCACCTCAGCCCTTTTTGGTTTACAATTTATAGAGCTTCTCTCTCTTCTTTTTCCTCCACCAATTGAAGGTGATCTTTTCCAAATGGTCCTTCTTATCCAGGAGTTGGAAGATTTAGACTCATCTATACTGAATATTTAAGCCCAGGTAAGCTTTCTGAGTGGGATTGTCATAGCCCTCTCATTCAGCTTGCTTGGAAGCAGAGTGCCACTGTTTGGGTGGCTGACAGAAATGTTTTCTCTAGTTAAAGCTTACCAATATGGTCCTTCTCATAATTTCTTCTATCAGGTCAGGCACCTACCTTCCCTTTTCTCTGTGTCCTGGGAACCCCTACACCTGGAAAACATGATTCCTGAGAAGATGGCATGCCATTTTTCATGTGTTTCACTTTTGGAGCAGCATCACCTCTTTGCAGCTTAACTGCTGTTACGTGGTAGTATAAGTTGTTTTCCTGTAAGAGAGGGATTTGTAGCCTGCAGCCTCTTACAACAATAGCAGTGATACTGCTGGTCATTTACTTTGCTTGCTGCTACTCAGCTGTGCTACATCATTCAAGCAGACCTGCAGTACCTGTAGAAAAGTAGGTACAGTACAAGTAGGGCCTGGATATTTTAAAATCAGACAATGGACACTTAAGCATTCATGCAGAAAAATGTTTTATTGTAGTGAAGTTACACAGGAGAAAAATGTCTCCCTGCTTCTGGTTTAAGGCTATGCTGACCCATAAAAGCACATTGCACTTCCAGTCATATTTACAAGTTTATAAGAATACCACATACTATTTTCTTTTTTGTCTTTTTTTTTCTATTAACTATAACTATATAAAGCTGGAATCCAGAATATTTCCTTGTAGTTTTTGTTTGTTTTTTCTTTTTTTCTTTCTTGCTTTCTTTCTTACTTTTCCTTTCTTGTTTTTCCTTTCTTTGCCTGTCCAGTTTATTTAGTCTAAAAGCACCTCAGGACACTTGAGGGTTACTTCATACTTTCCCATAATGACCTCATAGGGCTCTAACCCCAGGCTCAGTGTACAACACTATGCTGCTCAGTGGTCATATCATTCTTATCACCAGCAAGCAGGAAGATGGAATGGCAGCACATACAGGGTGTTTATGGAAGAGTGTTGAAGTGACCTAGGTGACAGAATAACTCTTCCCCCATTAAAGTAACTGCCAGCCCACATTTAATGCAGAAAATCAACAAAGCACTGCATCAGCCTGGCACACATACAGACACGAAAAATGGTACAGGGTCTGTGACTATACAGAAAACATAAAGAAGGTGAGACAGATTTTGGACCTGCCAACCTTGTAATTGTCATTTGAGGAAAACAAAAACAACACTGTTTATCATCTGCTAACTACTCTTCCCACACAACAGGTTATGTACAGCATACTAACTTACATTTGCACATAATGATACACAGGTCTTCACCACCAATGCTTGTGGTGAAAGGATGTGACATGTCAAGCTGACTGACACTTCAGAAAAAAAGTTCATGAAGAGCTAGCTTATTCTTTGTCTCTTGAATGTAAAATCCTACAAATGATTAGTAAGATGTCTATTTTTACAATATTTACTCTGTACAATGCAAAGAGGAAGGACAGGCTTTTTAAACGTAGGACTCCTTAGCATACTGGATCTGCTCTACCTCAAAAACCGGCTGGCTGCACCTCCGAGCCACATATTCGAGTTTGTTCTTTTGACAGGACTCAGACATGGCTCTCATCCGGTAGACTCCTGGGGTCACGGGTAAATTCACACGGGAGTTTACTCCTACAGAGATGCTGAAGGTTTCAGTTTCCATGTCAGAATCCTTTGTTGCAGAAACTCTGGCCTTGCGTAGATCCCTCAGATCCATATATGCTGTGTCCTGTGCACTGTGGCTGCATGGATGAGGCAGCAAAACATCCTGGTTTGACGCTGCTAATCTCAGAGTCTGAACCGTGAGATTTTGGGAGGGAACTGTAGTGGCCGGGCAGTTTTTAACAGCCTCTTCATAAGAGGGTGGTCTTCTAGGGTTTTCCTGGTCTACCTCTCTGAACACTTCATCAACTGACCTGAGACGGGGCCTTTGCTGATACTCCACAGGCAGTAGTTTGTCATCGTTACGGCTGCCCTCCTGGACAATTCTGCAGGAGAAGTGATCTTCTTTCTTTGTGAAACTGTCCCTCTGAAAAAACATGGGTTTTCCAGGCCCCCAGCTTTGGGTTTTTATTAGTGTTTTCCTGCGGTTTGCAAAAGAGAATGACATGGAATGTTTTTTGATCTCTCTGCTAGGCGTACTGCAGTCTTCGGTGGCCTTGGTGGAAAAGGACTGAGGCCTATTTAAAAAGGTTTTTTTGGGACTAGAGGGTGAAACTAATGGGGAGCTGGTGAAAACTGAGCCATCAGAGCTCTCCAGGGAGCAACTGGAGGATGTTTTTGGTAGAGAGTCAGTTGACAATTGTGAAGGTAAGCCTGCAAGACGTTCCTCCAGTGCCTCCATCCATAGCAGTTTCTGCTGAACGGGAAAATTGTCCTCACTTTTGTTTAGCCTTTGTTTCCTTATTGTGTCATCAAGGCAGTTCTGGAAGGACAAGTCTGACTCTGAGTACCTCCTGTCCATTGTGCTGATGTCATTTCTGAAATTAGTCAGGGAAGGGGCAGAGATATTTGTTGGATGTTTTCTGCTCACAGTAGCACTTCTCCCTTTGGTCTGCTTCATCTCAGAGGCACAGGGACTGCATTCTGCTTCAGGATCTGGGCTGTCATAGGCAGAGTCATTCTGATGAGCTGCACAGAGTTGTTCTGTGGGGAGAAAGCAGACATTAGTTTTCACTGACCAGCTGAGGATGAAAGAGAACTACACAGAGATTTCAGAAGAGGGCTTCAACAACCTTGAACTCTCTGTGTTTCCACAGATATATTCACATATCAAATTCAGTAATTTGGCCCACTTGGCGATCCCCATCTGCAGTTGAGTGTGGGGTTAATTATGACACCTTGAATTACAAGGTCTTGATGGAAAGGCAACACTGAACAACACATGTCCTGGAATAGAATGATGCCAAGAGGTGTCACTGGAGGCTTCCCAACGCCTGTGGTTGTGCTGTGGGACTTTCAAAGCACTCCCAGTCAGCCCCCCCACCTACTGTTCCTGAAGACCAAAACACAGTGGTGGTCTCCATGTGCCCGACCTCACCCCCAGCGGCTGTGAAGGCTCCATGTCAGTGCCTGTCCCACAGCACTGTGACCGTGTTAGCTGAGGCACTGCAGCCTCTGCCCTCTTCCTCCATTGGTGGTTTCATAAAGCAGTCTGAAGTAACTTCAGGAAGTGCTGCTGCTGGAGCCCTCTAAAGCAAACCCCATGGAGCAATAGCAACCTGATACGACGGACAGGCTTTTAAATGAGTGTCTTGATTTCGAAAGACACTGTTGGCCTCTACCAGCCGCTCCATTACATTGGCACTGGTTGCAAAATTTCCTGGTTGAAAAACTTACTCTTTCAATTCTTCAATTTTTTCTTGCTTGCTTGGCTTCTCTAGAGCTTGCATCCATTTCTCATAGAGGTCAGCTGATAGGAGTTTGGAGGGAATATTTCGGAGAAAGTCCTGCAAGGCCAAGAGATTTAGATGAAATGTTGACACTATCCCTGAGCACAGAGAGAATATTACTGTCACCTGGGCTCTCTAAGAGGCAGGTTGACTTGAGCTACCTGACCATCAGCACTGACAGAGCAGTGCAATGCACAAGTGCACTTGCACTAGTGCAGTAACAGGATCCAGCTTTCAGTTGCTTTTCCTTCACTCACAAATCTCACTATTGCTCCCTGAGAAGATGCTGAGGACAAAGTGAGTTTCCTCAGGAAATCAGCAGCCCGACAAGTAGAACTGACAATCAGGTAGAAAAGGCCAAACTTTCCTAAGCTTGAAGAATTCAGTCTGTCTTAGTTCTGGCCTTAGCCAAAAGTCCCACCTAGATCAGCTCGGAGCACTGGATTAGTCCTGTGCATATTAGCAATGTCCCCCCAGCAGTACAGCTCAGAATTACTCACCTTCAAAACCACTGCCAGCAGGTGCACAGATTTGCTTTTCAGATCAACATTCCCGCCTTTGTTTAGGTCCTCCTTCAATTCCTTTCGTGCTTTCTCATTGGCAGTTTTCCTGAATATCCCTTCAGTAGAAGGTCCTTTCATATACAATATGGCCAGGAGATCCTGCAGGGAAAAAGTCAGACAGGAATGGAAGGACGGTTACTTGGATGACGGAAGGTGAACATTTCTTTAGAAATAGAAGAAAAATTGTCAGGAGGTACACTGATTAGTTCCATATCTAGTTCTTGCTCCAAGTACATTACGTGGGAAGTAGTCTTGATTTTCCCTTAATCCACCTTCTTTTTGAACTGATGAATTCCACTAACTTCAGTGGAGTCATCCTTGCTTACTTCTAGAAGGAAGCAAGGGATGGCTTAAATCTTAGTTCACATCCCCTCTCTCACAAGCCAGGCAAATATTACTTACTAGAGACAAATTCATGTCTATTGGGAAAGCTAATTCAATGGTAGAACTGTTACAAGACCATTTTTATTCAGAAGTTATTGTTTAGTTATTTTTTGTGACAGTCCATAGCTAAACACTTGTTTTTCATGGAAATACAGAAATCCTTGGAAGTTTATGCCACTGAAAGATTTATTTAAATTACTTATTTAAAATCACAGATTATTATATTAAGAAGCAGATCTTTAATTCCTGGTCCTGGGTTCTCTACACTCCAAGTTACTTCCAGTGAAAGTTGGGTGAGCTGAACAAAACCCTCAGACCTGACTCCTACATCTGGGATAGGCCCTGAGATTATAAAGGGCATGTGTGTTGGGAAACACCAGAATCATCTCCTGGATGATGCAGCAGAAGTATTGGGTATCCTGCCTCACACTTAAGTCAGAGGTATCACAGAATCATAGGATGGTTTGGGCTGAAAGGGACCTTAAAGATCATCTCATTCCAATCCCCTGCCATAGGCATCTTCCACTAGACCTGGTTGCTCCATGTCCCATCCAACCTGGCCTGGAACACTTCCAGGGATGGGGCAGACACAGCTTCTCTGGGTGACCTCATTACCCTCACAGTCAAGAATTTCTTCCCAATGTCCAATCTAACCCTGCTCTCTGTCAGTTTGAAGCCATTTCCCTCCAGGCCTTTGTAAAAAGTTCCACTATAACTGTACCTCCTTACCTGGACTGGCTGGGGCAGTGTGTCATCTTCCCCACAGATAAGTGCCAGAGGATGGCCAAACAGAGTGATTTTGGTACCCAAGTCTAGCTGTCCTGAGGAATTTCTTTTGGTAAGGCTTTGTCTCAGAGTAAATGACTGTGATATCACCTTCTTTCTTTTCTTTGTTCCATCTGCTGCAAGTAAAAGGGAAACAAAAGATCAATTTAAAATTAAAAACCAAAAAACAGAGCACTATGTGCCTTTCATCTGTGTGCAGTGCAGAGATGTATGTTGAAACAAACCAAACTGGGAGAAACTGAGAGACAACTAAGTGGTTACTAGGGAAACAACTGCCTAAACTGTAAAACTGTGGCCATACCCCTAAGGCCACCACCTTTCCTGTTTTGGGTTGGGTGTTTTTTATATTCTAGTCACTGCTTCTTCTTAGAGAGTGGGAACATACAAGGTACAGAAATAACAACATTTATAGAGATTTTTGATATTGCAGTAGTTTCTCTGATAACTCTGAGGCAGATATACTACTTTGGCAGCTGGCAATGACAACAATTTTCACTACATGGTCTGGTTGTGCCCCTGCCTTAGGGCAAGAGTAGAAGTAGGGGCTCCTAGTTTTTGACCTCTTTCACAGCCTGAAATGAAAACATATGGCTCCAGCTCTGGAGCCAGCTCTAATGACAATGCTCCTAGAGCGAGTGCTTGTCCCCCAGCCAGTGGAACATGATACCTGCTCCAGAGGATGGGAGCATCAGAGTAAGCGCTTACTGGCTTCATGGTTAGAAATCCCTTAGCATGGGTTTTGCATCTGCTCCATAAAGAGGAGGGCCAGGAATTTGAAGAGGATAATTGTATTGCAGTGTGGTGCGCCTTTTTTTCCCCTTTGACAAACAGTGAGAGAAGGAACCTTTTGCAAGAAAGATTTCTAAAGGATTTGCCTTCTGCAAATTTGCAATAAATGTCATGCCTTCTACTCCAAAATGAAGTTGTCTTACCCCGATGAGAAATTCTCAGGACCTCTCTTTGTGACTTAGCATAAGCTCTTGGTAGGTAGGGGTTTAAAAAAATAGAGAAAGTCACTCAACATTATAGTGTAATTTAAAATATTAGCTTCTGATACTCCTGAAAACTGGTCTGATATGGTTGTCTGCTCCAAATCTGACCCTGCCTTGTTTATGGTCTCCTCTGGGTTGTTTATAGCTGCTGAGGTTTTGCATGGTGAGAAAAAACAAGCGCTAGTTCTGCTGCCAAGAGGTTTTATTTGCTCTGGTGTGCAACATCTGGTACAGTACTCGGTACTCACTTACAATGCCACACCTCAAAGGCAATGCTTGAGTGAGAAAGAAACACATTTACTTCCCATTGCTACCAGGGAACACAATGAAACCTGGCTGTAAGGACCAGGGAATGGGAATACAAGACCTCGGGCACTCAGCACTGTCACCTCTGCCACTGAGCATATAGGAAAGAAGTAACTTGCAAATGAGTGGCACTCCAGAGCTTAAGCCCTCTCCTGGGTGGGAACTGTGGCTTGCTCTCCGGGAGGGGGAGCAGGCAGTTTCGGGTGGTTTTGCACAAGTGCCAGCTTGCAAGCATTATATAAGAAGGCAGTTCCTCAGTTTCTTTTTGAAACTCACCGTTTGAGAGGCAAAGTCTGTCTTCAGTATCTGCTGGGACTGACATGGGACATTTCTTGGCATCAGCCTGCAAAAAGTATGTTACGGTTACAGAACTGCCGGAACAGTAGTGAGAGCCACCAGCAAGTTGCTGCAGCTCCTCAGAAATCTGGGGAGGCTCTGGGGAATAACCAGACAAGCCCAACACCTGCTAAAGAGGTGCCTCAGCCCAGGATTGACACTGCCTCACTGCCTGGTAAAGGCGTCTGTGTTAAACTCTGCAGCCAGACACCCCAGGCATGCCAGCAGGTCACAACCCTGCGCTCTTTCAAGCTGCGCTTTTGATCCAGAGAAGCCATAGCCGGACACAGCCTCCTTTTTTGTGTCCTCCCCAGCATTGGAAATTTCCTCCCAAACTCCTCTGGGGAGCCTCGATGGCTTTGAAGCCTTCAAGATCCCTGAGCAAAGCTCCTGGTGAGCCAGGGGAATGCACAGACTGCCCACAGCAATGCCCTGCTCCCTCTGCTCAGAGCAGAGAGCTGTGTTTGAAGAGCTCTGACCGCTCCTGGGTGAGGGTGGGCAGCCGGCAGCTACTGGCGGAGTCACCCCTACTTTGCTAAGGTATCTCACACCAGTACCCAAGAAGGATCCAGGAAAATGTAAGGGCTGCTTACCTCTGTCTGGCACTCAATCAGACTCTCCATGTTCCCAGCATTTAGTGTCTTTGACTAGGCAAGAAAACAAAGACTGTGTGAGTAACTGAATCCTATGGTTTGGAAATCAGAGCTTTTCAAAGTCGCTATGCTGACAGAGCTGAAATAATTAAGATACTCACAGTATTACAGCTGCTTAACACTTTCATTAGGAGTTTGATTGGAGGAGCTCTGGACAGTCTGGTTTCCTTCAGTCCTTTTGTTTGCCTGTTTGTTGAACAGGGAATGGACAAAGAGTCTTGTAAAACTGCACCCTTCTTGGCTTTCTCCTCTGCAAGCCAATCTAGCATGTATGATCCTGAACCAGCAAGATCTCCCACACAAGTAAACTCTAAAGCCCTTCTCTGGAAGGGCATTCAGCCCTGCTGCTCTATCTGCCTCCTGATTCAAACAAAATAAAAGCAGCTTTCCATTTTTAATCCATGCAAAAAGTGAGCAAGTGGTGACAGCTATGTATGGTCATTAATCTGCACACCCGAGGCTGAGCAACTCTGTCAGCTCTGCCCATGAGCTATGCTTAGCGGGTGCACCTCTCCCCCATGTACTTTTTTGTACATCTCTGTGCAGCTGCATCTGAAGCTCTCCACGGATTTCAACCATGATGCCACAGATTTTTTCAAAGGCAGTACTTACCCAAGAAGCGAATCCAGCCAGAGCTCCCTCACCTCCCGTGAACTGCAGAGGAAAGGAGAAACAGCATCACTCCCCACTGCTACTAATCCTTTGGACAGAGGCAGGTGACTAAACAGTGTATACCACGTGTGCTGCCTTATATATGCAGAAGGGGCAGGTGGAAATTCACAGGCAGGAAGAAGCATCATGGGGGAGGACCAAGACAGTACCAAATTTCTGGCTTCCTGTTTCCTTTTAGAGGAGATACTTTTTTTGGGTTTTCCCCCCCTTAAAGAAAAAAAACAAACTCTGGTAGCTGTTATGGATGGAAAAGATGAGACACTTGCCAGGTAAAGGTTCCAGCTATCATCACCAGCATGAGGTGAGATGTGCAGAGGGGGCTGCAGTGTAGGCAGCTTCTCTTTACCATTAAAGGGCAGTGGGTACGGTCTGTCCTTTGCTCAGAGATATTAGATTTGGCAGTTTAAAAAAGCACTGCCAGGTCAAGCTACACTAAGAGCAGTGAAAACAACAGGGCGGTGGAATAGACAAGATTCAGAGAAATGTTTCTTTATAATTTTTTAAAAGCTAATTGCAACAGTTTACTGTCTACAAGCAGATGTAGGCACACATTTTGTCAGTACTAAGTAGTTCTTGAGAATCTAGGTACTGGACATCTATAGACAAAGTGGTGTAATGTAGTAATTTAGTAATGTATGACAGTACGTAATTTAAAAGTCTTGTTTAAAATAAATCATAATAAGACATATTTGTGTGCACATATTAAAATTTGATTCAAAGAGATTTAAAAAATCTAGGAAAAATCTACCTCTTCTTGACCTGTGTCATTCTGTTGGTGACTGCCTGCCAATTTGGGCATATCAGGAATACAGCACTCACTCTACCAGGCCATTATGAAAATTCATTAAAATTTGATGTTAAATATATGATATTATTTCTATTGATTTATTGACTGAGGCAAATTACAACCCTGTTCTGGGTGCCAGTCTGCTGATCTTGTGAAAAGGAGGAGTTAAGGCTGAGAGTCAGGATTGGGAATTCTTCAGTAGTGGATTTAGGTGGAAAGCACACTTGTGAAACTGTGGCCTTTCTGCTGCTTCCCTTGTAGATGCTGTATTTCAGATGTGCAGAGGATGGGGCTGTCTTAGTACAGCACTTTGCAGATGCACGTAATGGCTACATCTGCTGCTGAATTCACCTTCAAAGCTGTTCTTTGTGTAACCACATCAGACCCAGCCAGTGTAGCACTAGCCCTGTTTCATGCAGAACAGAAAAGGGACAGAAAGGTGATCTCTGTTTGACTCTGGCAGAAATCCAAAGTACAAAATTCACTTTTGGTTGGATAGAGATGTGTCCAGAAGAGCAAATGGAGACTTGCTCTGTTTTTGTGGGAGGAGTTGCTGTAGGTCACCTTTTAAGTCCTCCTGAGGCCAATCATTTCCATGCTACTGTAGTGGCACTGGTCTGGTGACTTGTTTAGGGCTGAAACTTACAGCAATTTCAATCAATTAGTCTGCAGCCCTGTGCATTTACCACTGATCTTTTACTCACTGCTGTAGCTGATTTTTTGTTAATTATCAGTCCCATGGCATTTTTAATTTCCCAGCTAAATTCCATGAGCTGCTGTACATACTTGCAGAAGTATTGTCATTCTACATTACTTTTTCCTGAGAATTTCTTTTGGGGCTCCTTGGCAGCTGCAGCACCACTGCTGATAGTTTCAGTATTCCTCAACAAGAAACATCTATTTTTCATTACATCTGTTAAATATATATCCAAACATATCTGTTTGTTAAGCATCTCAGAGGGGACCCATGCAGTTCAATTCTGCCTTCCCCTCACTTCCAGCACTCTGCAGAGGTGTATTTCTGAGCTCAGTCTGTTTCATGATTAAGACACGGGGCTGATCTGGAAAATGTGTGATTTGTGAAGAAAATGTGAGTGTAATGGGTGGTGCTTAGCCAGGCCAGAAGCTTAGATTACTGTTCTGGCACTGGCTGTACACAGGGCTTTGAGTTTCCCAGGGGAAGATAATACAGTAATTGATAGCACATCACCAGACTGTCCACTGGCACATAATGCTGTATCTCTATACAATTATTTCTTATCCCTTAACAGTTGTGGGGATATAATGGCTGTTGTATGTGGAAGGTGTGTGTATAGGCCTGTCTGCCTGCCCATAAGAAAAACAATTTGATTTTTTTACCCTCCTGATATCATTCTTTATTTAATAGCTCTTTTATGGTGTGTATCACAAACACTTAAATCATGCCAAAATTACTTTAAAGCAGCCTATTTTATTACAAATAAGCAGGAATCCTAAAATGCTACAGTTTGGCAGAGTAATTGTATGGCAACACAGAGGGAATCTTTGCTGGTTTTGTGAAAAGCAGTAAGCAAGCACATGCTGATTCCTGCCAAACATCGCAGAGCTGTGTGCAGGCTTCCAGGGTCAGAAGAGCTGCTCTTACACCTACTTGCCAGAGCAGCTTCACAGCTTCCCCATCAGCATGGAAAAGGTGTAGGCCCCAAAGCCAGTCTCCACCCTGAATATTAACAGAAAAGGCCTGTCATATGTGATGTTTACAAGTTAAGTTCCCTTATATGAACAACTTCTCTCCCTGAGGAGGTTGATTCCATCTCTACCTCCCAGTTCTGTTTTGCAGACTTGAAACTTTTGCTGTGGTCCACTCCTCCCGCAGTTTGGTACAGATCTTACACCACAATGATCAGAGCAACGTGTTTGTTGTACCACAGCCATTGCCTGGGGCAAGAAGAACAGATGGCAGGTGGCTTGGGTACACCTGGAGTTGTTTGCAGTCAATGTGTTTCTCCCAGTCAATCCCTGACTAAGTGAATGCACTGTCCTCCAAAAACACTGGATGTTTACACAAAGATCAGGGCTTGGGAGAGGCAGTGGAATTGCAAGGGTTTTGTAGGACTAGCCTGTGTAAAAGTTCATACCCTGCTGGACACCAAGATGCTTCCCTCAGTTCTGCTGAAGTGTTTTACATTCACTGGAAAGAAAGCAGGAGCAGAGAGGTCCTGCAGAGCAGCCAAGCCTGGGTGGATTTAGCCCTCTTAAGGACTAGATTTACCCCTTGAGATGTGAAGCATTTTCATTATAGAAGCCAGGACATCAGTTTGATGCTTCTGCTTCCGGTGGTCCCAGCCAGCCCCTTTTCTCCCACCCAGACCATGGCTGCTTTTGTGGTTCACTCCCAAGCCCTCTGCCCAACCAGTGTTTGGAGGGAGGGCTTATATAGCACTTGCTGCAAACATGGACCAATGGTGATTTTTGGCAATTTTCCCCTCTGTGTGAGCTCCAGTCAAGCTAAGCATTTTCTCCTCTTTTCTTCTTTTACACTGTGGCTATGTGAGGGACTTTAGACCATAGCAATGAAAAAGCAACATCAATTGGAATGAGAAAGAAGTCGGGAGTTGACAGTGAAAAAGAGAAATAAAGGATAAATCTGCTGTGACTGGAGACTGTCTGTTTCCTTCTCTCCTTATCAAGCCACAAATGGGAAAACCCCAGCCACAGCTCACTTTTGTTTATTTCTATTACTTTTGCAAATGTTTGACAGCATGGCTTTTAGGAAGGAGGGAGTGTGAGAATGAATCCTGAAACTCTCCTTTGCCCTTTAATCATACCAGCAAGGAGGCAGCAGGAGCATAGCTGTGAGAAGGGTACAGCGGAATGAGCCTGGAGCAGGGATCCTTTCAAGCCCATATAGAGCAGAAAGAGCCTTCATCAGTGCCTCTCCATGTGGAAAAGGGATTGTATTCCAGTTTTGTCTTCAGTGCCACAGCTGCAGTCTCCCCAGGGAACAATAGGAACATTTACCAAAATAAGGAAAGCAGTTGTGCCAAACTCAGAAAGCTCTTGGGTTGGTCGTTTTTTGGAAGGGAAATCTCTGTACAATCTGTCCACGAACTCAAAGAACAAGGTGGCAAGTGGGTTCCTGGAAACAGGCCACATTTATAGATGCCTTCTGAAGGCATCTCTGATTTCCTGCCACTCTCCAGAGCCTATTGTGGGATGCACAGGCATGGTTCAGGGTTTGATCACAGTCTCTGCTTCCAGAACAAGAACCATCAACCCAGCCAGAGTTGAACTCCTACAGGTTTAATCAGGTAGAGTCTGGGCTCATGCTAAACCTGCCTTTGGAAAGTGAAATGCACTGCCAGTTTTTCCCAGCTCTGTTCAGCTGATTTCTATCCTGATTAAGATATCAAGGTTAGATTGTAGTGTGGGTTAGATTGCACCACCTTTTTACACACTGTTTTACACTATTGCATGGGAAAAAGTTACAAATCAAAAATAACTCTATAAATACAGCAGAGGATGTATTCTGTGCCCTTCTTGTGACACCATTTCGGTTGCACTTGCTTTGCAGTATGTTTGTTTATTCTTTCATGGGTGCTTCCTCCAAGACTCAATTGGCAGCTCTAAAGATTTTTACTCATCCTCAGGTGACTGGGTCCATTGGATGCTTTTTTACTTGTGGAAGGCAGGTGCATATGGGCCATTTTTCCAAAGGGTCTGTGCTGCTGTTTGACTGTGTCTGCATTCAGCTTGCTATTGTATCTCTGTGGCACTTGGGAATTACTCATTCCTTTTGTTCCCTGAGGTGACTAGCCCAAAGGAATCAGGGAACTGAAGTTGCCTGTCATTTCTGACTGAGCGGATGCAGATCTAAACTTTTGCTTACTTACATGAAAGTAGTAGAGAACATGTGTAATTCAGTCTGAAATCTGTTCTTTTCAAAACTCCTGGTTGAAGGTACTCAAACAATATTGAAAAGTGATATGCTTACTTTTTTTTGTTACTCCACCAGGTTTTTCACTTAATTTGCTTCATGTTCTTCATTTGCAAATTAGAAAATTAGATTAACACGAATGTTTTCTTTTAGATTTTTTTTAATGTAGGCTTGCATATCTCTTGTTTCTGCACCTTCTGTTTTGCATTGAATTTCAGCACCAAAATTATCTCAGATCTCAAAATGTGAATTAGGGAAAACAAAAAAGAACATGGATTTGACATCGAATTCTAACTTGCATGTGATTTTTCAGGCATAAGACACCTTCACTTTCAC